ACATCACTCACAGACTTTTGCACATCAGAAAATTTCTTCTGAATTGATACAGTTCTGATTTTCCAAATTTTTCAGTTCTGAGGAATTTTGACTGAAACATTTTTAGCTCGATTCAAAATTTTAGTTTTGTTCTAGATATTTCAGATTGATCCCAAAATTGCTGGGGATGCCCTAATATGAAGGGAGAAAAGTTGCCTATAATGCCCCTTTCTAAAAAAAAACAACAACTCTCAAACTGTAAAATAGCCATTCAAAGTTGTTACCTGGTAGTGACAACATGCCACAAGACATGCTACAGTGGCACAAGACATACAGTGGCTAGAAGACGTTTTTTGTTAGTTCTAATGAATTGATATGGTTTGCATTTTAAAAATATGTGTGTTATGAAGAATTTTTGTCAAAGTTTAATTTGAAATTCTGATATTCAAAATTTACTGAATTTCAATTCTGGCCTATCTGAATCTCTAAGTATAATCTACCATTAACAATTCAACCAAACTATGAAAATCGAGTTACAACTTCCAATAAGAAATATTTTATATAGGGGATGCATTGCTCAATAGTTGACAAGAGAGACTTGTTCTTTTCTCCCCTCTATACACAGATAGTTATAAAATGATTGTTAATTATACACTCATGAGGATAACATGTAACAACTTAAACAGCCATTTCTCTAACTAGGTATTTACAATGAAGTGTGAAGCAATCAACTGAGCCATCATCAAAAGCAATCATCTATGCCCTCAATACACAGCACTGGATACAATTTAAGTACTCACTAATCAGATCAGAAGCACTTTATAAGACCCAATTAAGGTGACAATACATGTAGTGTGCTAAAATCACTAGTATGGCTTTCCACATGTTAATTTAAAAGTCCCTGTTTTTACCTTCTATGCTTTGAAGTTTACCATGTCTCATACTCACAGTTTATTTAATCTACAAGCTACCTTAAAACTTCTTGCTTTTTATTTTCAATATTATATATATATATATATATATATAGTGTTCAAGTAGAGATTGTAGCCGTATTAGTCCAGTGATGTAGATGTAAAAAACAGATAAAATTCTTATCTTGTAATACCTTTTTTATTGGACTAACATAATTTTTTTAATGACAAGCTTTCGGGAGAACCTCGCTTTCTCAAGTCTGAAGCATTTCTGAGCAAAACGACACATAGAATTCAAAGTTGAGTTGTGATACAGGGGTTAAAGCGACATGAGTGTAGATAAGACACAGGTTTGTTAGAAAATAGACACCATCTTAGCAGAGGGTCATAAATATCTTGTTGAAGAGAAGAGTAGGGGGGAGAGAGGAAAAAGAAAAACAAACAAGCAGACAGTGCACAGGATGATACACTTTATACATGCACACACACAGAAATATGTATATGTGAATGCATAAACACATGTATATATTCATAAACACATATACATACATGCACATGGACTCATATACACAAATATAAATGCACAGTAATATATATAAGCATTCATGCATACGAGTATGGGAAAGCATAGGTCTACACATAGTACTATGTATATAGATAGAATAAACATATAGGAATGCATTTTAAAGTGTTGGTACATATGACAGAACAGTAAGATAATGCTGGGAGAGTGTTCATGTAAAGTGTTGGTAGTGGGACAGGAATCCCAAATCAATATTTAGTCCTCTCTTCTTGCTGTTAAACCATTTAATCATTCTGGCTTCAAAGGCTTTTCTTTCCTGGGTATTTTTAAAACCCCCTTTCAGTACTTTGATTTTTAGGTCCTTCAGTGAGTGGCCAGGCTGGGTAAAGTGGTGTCCCACAGGAGTGCAGTATGATTCTTCTTTGTGGTGTTTAATAGAGTGTCTGTGCATATTCATTCTGCCATTTAATGGCTGGGTGGTTTCCCCAATGTAGCATCCTAGGTGGCATTTTATGCATTGAATCATGTATACCACATTGCTGGATGTGCAGGAGTATGAACCTTTAATGCTGTAGGTTTTATTGTTGTGTGTGGCTGTGTTGTCTGTGCATATGTGCTGATATAGTTTGCAGCGAGGTTTTTTGCATTGACTGGTCCCGTTTTCTTCGTTCTTACCATCAGTGGGCAGCCTCCTGTTGATTAATTTTTGTTGTAGGTTTGGTGGTTGTCTGAAGGCCAAAATGGGTGTTTCAGGGAAAATGTTTTTCAGAGTCTCATCTTCTGTTAATATTGGTTGTAGGTCTTTGATGATTTTCCGTATTTCCTCAAGATCAGGGTTGTAGGTGACCACAAGTGGCACTCGTGTGCATATTTTTTTCTCTCTGTATTGTAGCAGGCGCGTACGTGGCGTTTTTACAGCAGAGTTGATTTGTTTGGTAATAGTCTTTGGTTTGTAGCCTTTCTGTCTCATAGATTGGGAGAGTACATTTAGATGGGAATTACGGTCATTAGGATCAGAGCATATGCGATGGTACCTAGTGGCTTGGCTGTAGATGATGCCCTGTTTAGTATGAGAGGGGTGGAAGCTGGAGCTGTGTAGGTAACTGCACCTGTCTGTGGGTTTTCTGTAAACCGAGGTGTGGATTGTGCTATTATTACATGTCACAGTTGTGTCCAGAAAATTCACAGATCTAGTGGAATATTCCATTTTTAGTTTGATTGATGGATGGAATGTGTTGAAAGAGTCATGGAACTGTATCAGTTTTTCTTTGCTTTCAGTCCAAATTATGAAGATATCATCGATGTAGCGATAATATTTGTATGGTTTGGTGTGTTGGTTATCTAGGAATCTCTGTTCAAGATCTGCCATAAACAGATTAGCATATTGGGGTGCCATCTTAGTGCCCATAGCAGTGCCCATGGTTTGTAGGTAAACCTCATTGTTGAAAGTGAAGTAGTTATGTGTGAGGATAAATAGTGCCAGTTCTGTGATAATTCGGGGGCTGTATTTTTGGTTGTTGACATGAGAGAGAAAATGGAAGCAGGCATTGATGCCATCTGTATGTGGAATGTTGCTGTACAGAGATTCCACATCCATGGTTACAAGGATGGTGTTAGCAGGGAGATTGGTGATTTGGCTGAGTTTGTTGAGGAAGTCGGTTGTGTCTTTTATGAAGCTGTTAGTGTTGGTGACTAGAGGTTTTAGGGTATTTTCTACCAGTCCTGAGATCTGTTCTGTGAGAGTTCCCATTCCTGTAATTATGGGTCTTCTATGTGTAGACCTATGCTTTCCCATACTCGTATGCATGAATGCTTATATATATTACTGTGCATTTATATTTGTGTATATGAGTCCATGTGCATGTATGTATATGTGTTTATGTATATATACATGTGTTTATGCGTTCACATATACATATTTCTGTGTGTGTGCATGTATAAAGTGTATCATCCTGTGCACTGTCTGCTTGTTTGTTTTTCTTTTTCCTCTCTCCCCCCTACTCTTCTCTTCAACAAGATATTTATGACCCTCTGCTAAGATGGTGTCTATTTTCTAACAAACCTGTGTCTTATCTACACTCATGTCGCTTTAACCCCTGTATCACAACTCAACTTTGAATTCTATGTGTCGTTTTGCTCAGAAATGCTTCAGACTTGAGAAAGGGAGGTTCTCCCGAAAGCTTGTCATTAAAAAAATTATGTTAGTCCAATAAAAAAGGTATTACAAGATAATAATTTTATCTGTTTTTTATATATATATATATATATATATATATATATATATATATATATATATTCCATTTCTTGTGTTAACTCCCACTGCTGTTCTCCCTTGTCCTCACTTTTGTCCAGGCAAAACACGTGAAATTCTGGTCACAAAGTCCTAAATGTTACAATATATTCTGTTGACTTCCATGCTGACTATGCTTTATTTAGCACTTTTTATCAGAACAGCACTTGTTTTTACCTTGATAAATCTCACTGATATATTTGTTCATTATGGGATTCTATTGGTGTATTTGCACCATACATTAAAGGAACACAGGTAGCATTAGAACTACAAGGATGTATGATACAGTATCCTGTTATCTCTCAAGGTTTCTTCCACATATGAGGGTTTGAACTGTGAGAATTACTTCCCTTTCATCCATTGCCATACTGTTCCTAATGCTGCTGGTCCAACTTCTTTGACTGAGTTATTTTAATGTTGATGATCTCAGCCAATTCCACATAAGGAAGCACTGTAAGGCTAGTGTGCATGTGTTACAAAATGGTTGTAGCAGAGGAAGTGCATGTGTAGCAAAATGATTATAACAGTGGAAGACAGTCACTAGAGCTATGTTAAAATGCAATGTAAACATTTCAAGTTTTACATTGCAGACTTAAGCAAATAATGGAACTCCAACCAGACAACTGCCATGTATCTCTAAGGTTTTTTAAGAGTGCTAAATAATGGCCAAATAATAGGCCAACTGTAATCTACATTGTATCATTGTACAGATTTTTTAATCATAAAATTAAACTCGCCAGCAGATATTATTATTTTTGTATTTTAGCAGACATATAATTTTCACATTCATGTCGTATTACCAAATAAACCTTCTTACTGATTTAAATTAATATCAATATTTCAACGTCTGCTGCAATTAGTAGAAACACTTGGAGTTTGACAGATCACTCCCATGTAGTATCAATGAAACATAGGTGTTGTTAAGCGGTGGCTTTAGGGGTTAAAGCCAGAGATGTGGGGTTCTTTAGCCTTGATCTCTTCAGGTGGCTTTTATTATTTTAAATTAAGCAACAGCTAATCAAAGCAATAGAGCAAATCTTGAGCACATTCTGGACAGCTACACTAACAGTGTTCTAAGTAATTAATCTATGATTTATCTATTATTTTATTGAGCTAATTTTTTGATTTCAACTATTGAACAATAATGAATAGGTTGTATTTTGTTAGCTATTAATGCTTTGGAATATTTGTTGGGGGGTTATAATATTTTTCTTCCTTCAAGTCTATTTTTAGATATGCTAAACCAAGGAATTTAAAATATGTATCCAGAACATTAGAAAGATATATACACAAACACACAAACAGTACACTTGGAGAATTGTTTGCTTAAAGGGAAACTCCAGTGCCAGGAAAACAATCTGTTTTCCTGGCACTGCAGGTCCCCTCTCTCTCCCATCCCCAATCCCCGGTTGCTGAAGGGGTGAAAACCCCTTCAGTAACTTACCAGAGACAGCAACGATGTCCCACGTCACTGCTTCTTCCTCTGCGGCCGCTCCTCCCAGTGATTGTGGCGGGGGGGCGAGACTGATCCGCATTAGGAAATCATTGAAAATGCTTTTTAATGCTTTCCTATGGGGAAATAAGCGACACTGGAGGTCCTCACACAGCGATGCTCTGTGCTAGGGACACGGAAGTGCCCTCTAGTGACTTTCTAGTAGACAGCCACTATAGGTGGAGTTAACCCTGCAAGGTAATTATTGCAGTTTATAAAAAACTGCAATAATTACACTTGCAGGGTTAAGAGTAGTGGGAGTTGGCACCCAGACCACTCCAATGGGCAGAAGTGGTCTGGGTGCCTGGAGTGTCCCTTTAAGAGCTGCAATTTGTCCAAATTTGATTCAAATGGGTGATCAGCCAAGTTTCCAAAGCACAATATAGGCTAATCACATATAAATTACTCATGCAATGGCTGAGCATGTTTGTTTTGATTTGGGATTCAGAGTTCCTGACACAAGAAAAATTATGGTATGGAATGGATAAGATGTACATGTTATATTTTTTGGAGGTAGGGGCAAATAAGCATCTTAATTTGCCATGATGGATGTGAGGTATGCCAAGTCATATGGAGTTTATTTCCTGTCCAATCAAGAAGTGAAAAAAATATTATTTATGGTTAGGGGACTGTGACTGAATGTTGATTTTATTCACATATAAAGATACCCTTGAATGCTTTTATCTAAGCCTGGTGTTTTTTTCCACATTCTTTATTTTTTCAGTGCAAATTGTAAATATAAGAATTATAATGGCATTTTAGCATGAATATAGATGGTGTTTAACATGACAGTGTTTGCAAGACACCTAGGTACATAGGTACTACATTATAAAGAGGTCTATCAGGTATACGCTAAACATTATGAGACTAGTAACATGAGAGCAATCATGACTGAAACTGCTAAAGACTGAATGCCAACTGATGAGGCAAAAAATGAGTATGAACAAGAACATTCATGTTAGAGCAACAAGCTTAAGATGATGTATTATTCATGCTTCAGCAAATGTTACAAGCTCACTTTATTTTGGAGCTGTAGTTACTCCTAGCTGTAGGTTATCATTTGTATTTTCACTGCTTTTCGGGAAGTCTTCTACGTCATGAGTATCAGAGCCCTGTTTTTTTTTTTTTAACTCCCTCAGCCTGGGCCTGGGCATAAGCCAGTGCCTGGAGACCACCAAACCTCCAGCTCCTGTGGTTAGGTTTTTGTACTGTGGGACTCCCTGTTCAAAAGCAGTCCCTCATGGTTCTGTTTGGCAGATGGGTTCTGCATCCATCCTGGCTCTCGGTCTACAAGCAGAATGACTCACCTGGATGGCGCTGGATACTCCCGCAGTTGTGGCTAAAGGTAGCATTTGCTTTTCCTGTCAGGCTTCAACCCAGCATACAAGAGTAGATGAGTAGTTTTGGAGAGTTTAATTCCACCATAAAGTCACAGTTTTTAAGTGTTATGTGCGGAGCCCACATTTGGCATGCCTGTTCACCATAATGCCCCCCTATCTAAGCCGTTTTATGCTGCAATTAGTGACTCAAACACTGAAGTAGCAGAATAATCTGTAATTGCAGTAGTGGAGTCAGTTACATCAACAAATTTGACCACCAGCTCTACAATAATGTCTATTACCACTGGCACTGCAGCTTCTTCTACCACAGTTAGTTCAAGCATCACAGCTTTTGTTTGGTGGTGGTGCAAACAAGGGCTCTGTCAAACCAGTGCAATTGTTGACAATCCTTATGTTACTCCATATTCTTATAGTGTCCCCCCAAGATGCAACTAAGAAAAGGCTCAGCAGATGCTTTGTTGGTGGCCGTTACTAAAGAGAAAGAGCAGAGTACCCAAGTAGTGTCCCCAATGTTTGATTTTGGTGGTGGTGTTAAATCTGTTAAATCTGGTGATGATGATATTTCGCTTTTCCACACCTCTACAAACATTTGCTCAAGTCTCTCAGGAGGAACTACGAGACAGAGGAACTACAAGGGGAGAGTCTAGAAAGGAGAGGTAGCAAGCCAACTATTTTTTATACATCTACTGTGCACACACCCCTTTGTCTACATCCATCTCTACCTGCAAATGAATTACCCCATTTAATGGAAGCAGTGGGAGAATCATCTCCTAGCATTGCCACAGCTTCTGCTGTCACCAATGCAAATCCACTTGCATCTTCAGCCACAAGGTGAAAGGTTGAGGCTAATATATTGTGCTGAAGCTAAGTCTTACATTACTTTGACAGGCTTCTAGAAGGGTAAATCAGAATAGTGCAGATTATGTGGAAAGGAAAAGAGTTGGGAGAGTGAAGGGTTTTTCACTAGTATTGGTATGAACCAAAATCTGCAAAAAAACACTGATACAAGTCTGTATTAGTGAGAGAAGACGCTGATAGAGAAAATACTAGGGCAGGAAGCAAATCCATCAGTACTGTACCTGATTCTGTTCAACCAAGTACTACCATCAGACCCTCCTTGCAACCTGCAGTTATGGCAACCCCAGTACAGCAGAACAGAAAATCTGCAGTTTGTGCTAAAGTTGATAACAGCTTGTGAAGATAAAGTGAATAAGCAAGCAGCTAAAATTAAAGTAGTGATGATGAAATGAACACCTGTGTCAACCTGCTTCATCTCCTACTGATGACCCTCTGAGCTATTTGGATGAGATGAAGAATGTTAGACTTGGTCTCTGCTTGGATGCCCAGCAGCTATTACTATATCCACTGATCAATGTGCAAAATAAGTCAATGTTTTCTCTTGCAAGGAACATTCTGAATCTACAATGCTCACAAATTATATCTCACCATTTAGGGTTACCTAAAGTGTCATCATTTACTAGCTTATATCTAACTGACCAATCTCCTATCTCCTGTTTCTAAATTTGTAATAGCATTCTAAAATCTGAATAAAAACAATTAATCAAATTTATCCTGCTGCTTCGGCTCCCCCTTTTTTAAAATGCATTTCATTGTAGTATTTTTGCCGT